CTAACAATGTTATTTTATTATGGGGAGACGTGCGGCATCTCACACTGTTTGAGATGTTGTGCATACAATTACAACTGAAAACTGGATCAGTTAAAGCTCAAAAATAAGAAAGCAATTTCAATTCCTATATGAAGGTTTAATAGTATATTTTTAAAGCGGCCTGTAGACTAACACAAAAATTGTTTGTCTTGCTTGGAAAACTAATGAGATTAATTATTGATCAAGTTATCATTGGCATTATATTGGTTTTTGGGTTTTTAACTTTAATTAAAAAACAACCTGATTCCTGATTTGACATAAAATTGTTGAATAATCACTTTCTTTGCGATCTGCTTTGTACTTTGCTAATCTTTGAAACATGTATTATTTAGAAACAGCCGTACAAATGCAAAAAAAATCTGTGATTATAGAATACAATGAAAATAGTTTTTTCATGCACACGAATTTTATCTAAAATTCTACATATATATTCTCCACATCCCTGAGGCTAACTCAACTATTTCTCAGAAATCAGCGTTCTTTCCCGAAATATTTTCAAATGCGCTGTCTATATATTCACGTGTCTTCAAGTATGACAAAGATCCTTCATTTCCATAGCATTTGTACTTTCAGTTACATTATAGATGAATGTTTTTCTTTTTTTAAAAGCGATTATGATGATGTCGTGACCTTTGGACTACTCCATACGGCGTATACTTCACATGTAATTGAGTTCTTGAAACTGTTAAATCGGACATTATTTTTTTAATGAAATACGATTTCAGTCGAATGTAGAAGGGTGAGGAAATGATTGGCAGATGCTTCATGCGGCGTACTTCCCATACATTCAATGTTTGTAACAGAACAATATTTCAAGCTATTAAACCAAAATTGTAAAATATAGATAGATTTATTAACAAATTTCTGCTCAAACTATTAAAAGAAGTCAAAATAGAATAAAACGAGGTACACTCGATACCCGGTTATACGTACATTTCTTGTAAAATTGTACTTTTACATATTTTCAAAAAAATCTATTCCTTGAACAAACGTTTCTATTTTGATTTTTTGAATTGTTCAGTGTTACATATCCCAAGCCAAATTCCATTTGCATGTTTTCTTAGTCATATTACAGATCTCTTGTATTGGCAATGCCTGTTTCTAAATAAAAGAATATATTACATGGTTTTGAGGCTGCATGTAAAAACGATCGCTAAAAGTGTTTATTCAAGTATATATCGTAATTCAGAGCGTATATGCATATGGATATTTGAGAAAACCCGTCCTTAAATACTCAAAGTAGCGTATTACTAGAGTTTGTCGCTCTATAAACTTTTAAAGAGATTTTTCGCGGTTCCAGAGTGACTATACAGGATCCTTAATATAGTAAAGAACTTGAAAATGCAATTTTAGAATGATCATTTTCAAAAAAGCATTGCGGTCTTAAAATGCTCTATGCAGCTGCATGCAAATATTATTTATGACTGACCGTATTAAGCATATCATTGTTGAAAAGTGTTTTAAATAAAAAATGATCGAAATGATTATTGATATAAGTTTTTTAAGAAGACACCAAAACAAGACTGTAAATGAAAAGAATTTCATACAAATTATCGTATTTTCAACCGTCCACAACTTAATTTGTTCTGTTCAATTTTGTCCATAACCTCAAAACTTTCGCTAAGCTTTATTTTTAGTAGATTTTGTTTTTATAAGAGTGTTTTTTGATCTTTTTAAAATAATCAGAACACGAGGTAGTGCGAAATACGAGTTGATAATCCATAAGGTCGTACTCGGCCTAAGTGGTCTTGTTGGTTTAGTATGGAGATCGATACACTGAATTATAGTGCACGGGAGAATCTACGTAGCACTCAGTTGATGTAATATATTTATAAAGATATAATACAAAACACATAATACAATAGAACGAGAAACAGTGGAATACAATGCATTTTATGAATACATTACATCAACTGCGTGCTACGTAGGTCACCCCGATAGTGCACATTTTTCGCTTAATTCGATGCCTCCATGGTATATCATGAATAGAATATAGCTCAGTAGCCAATCAGAATGCTTAATTTGTGCTAATTCATCCTTCAGTGGATATGAAACTTTGGGCATTTTATTAATACACTTCCCAATAGTTATCGTGAAATGTGAAATGAGAAATAAATGTGTGAAAAAGGCCAAGATAATGTCACCTCTTAAAAAATATGAAAAATTATACCGTACTTTGAAGTTCTCAATGGGGGGTCCGCATCACGACTAACGGCTAAAAATTTGGCTTTTTCACGTCTCACGGCTAATCAGTTTTTTCTCATTTTCACGACTCACGGCTTATTTTTCAGTCGTTTCACGGCTCACGGTTAACCCCATTGAGACCCTCTACTCTTAATATCATAGCTGAAAACAGTATATTATACTTCCACTCCACTTTCCCTTCCGTTAAAGTGAGAAGATGAGAAACTCATTTTCACGCACAAAAGAGATTTCATGTTTGGGTCAGCATCATGTATGATCTTTACAATATGGATAGTCTTAAATGGTTCATTAAGGAGCCAGATTGACTGTGCATTGCCGYGATGTTTTGAAGATTATTACGATGACACAGCTGGAAATGCAATCAGCTTAATATATGTTGGATGTCTACGAGGCTCGACACTAGCTTTAAAAGAAATCACAAATACTATTAACATCATTAACATCTCTTTACTAATGGCAGTCACTGCACGAGCGGCAATGATAAAGGGGTCGCTGATTTTAGAGTTTTTTCGTTTTTCGTTATTGATCTCATTTTCGCTGAGTTGCAGATTTATGGGTTTTGCAACGTGGTTTACGGTTTCAGTGCACTTTTAGGTTCGCTTTTGCGCTATGACAACCCCCTATACTAGTCCCCCAATGAATGCAAGCGGGAAGTTTTCCCAATCTCAGGACTTAACTCACAGAGTGTTGTTTAGATTATATGAGATGATAAATATCAGGATACAGGCAGACAATCGCTGGTCATATATTACTGTTGTTTTGCTATGATGATCAATACTGCTGGAAAGCAATGGATGACCTTTCCACGTGTTAAACATGCGGCTGCTGCTTTCAAATTCAAAATATATGGTTCTATCGGAGGGTTGTTAAAAAAACTGGTCAACAAAGTGAGGTATATATCTATAGTCAAAGAGAGATTCGAACATTCTTCAAGTATGAAGCCATGATTTATAAAACTTCAGTCCATGTTAACGAGCTSGAGGTAACCACAGCTGCGCGTTGTTTATTGCACTTTGTGGGGGAGGGGAGGGTGTGTGTGAATTGCCACACCAATAGAGGAAGCGTTTGATTCATTTACTTGTATTTGGTCGTGATTGTGACATGCGCCWTGTGAAAGTCTTTCCAGAGCGAAACCTTTGGAAAGCGTGGTTTTTATCCAAAACAAAAAGAAACGCGTTTAATTTTCTTTGATAAATGTCGCCGTTTCGAAACTACAACTTCACATGCAGCCATCTATTATCCTAAGGGACTGAAACAATCCTGATATCTAGTGTYACACAATCACATCTACCAGTCGAACATTGCGGTCACACATCAGACTGCGAGACCCTTCTTCGTTAAGTGGACTGAATACTCTAGAATGTCATCAGAGGACGACGASAATTCCTGGCCTCATGTATTCTGGGTACTTTTTATAATCCTAGCGTTTTCTATCAGAATATGGTGTTTGTGCAAGAGGCGATGTCATGACGAGGAGAGTGATGGTCACAGTGGTGTTCTGCAGAGGAGTGGAATGAGTAATCTAGCTCTCACGGAGGAGGGGGAAAGCACGAATACCAATGAGCCTACTTTTCGTGAAGTTGTTTGCAGCAACAATCAAACTCCAGCGGCCAAGTCTCGAGTGCAGATCAAACATGATCGTGATGATTTACTTCCGCTTACTAAGACGACGTCCCAAGATGCAGTATGACTTCATACTATAGATAAGGTTGCTTTTAACCAACATTAGATTTGACAATAACAACTTTGAAGCTTTTCATATCTGACGGAGAGCTTGTTAGTTCTCTGCATCACTTGAATTTGAAGAAACAATAATCTCCATTTCCTTGTAAGTTGTTTAGTACCGAAACGTTCCACGATCCCATGTAAACGCAATGCAAGACCACTCGAACGTATGAATAATTACTAAAATTGTAAATTTTACCGGTATCATTCACTGTCATTATTAATCTCTAGCTCATCAGAGATCAATCAAAGAGCTTTTTCGCGCTCAGTCTGGCCACCCGAGAATATAAACTTA